TATGCTTAACTTCTTGAGAGCTTCCCTTGCAACACGAAGTGTTACAAGGTAGGAACTGATCCTTCAGCTCCTTCATGGTTTCCCATGTCTCTATTCTTTGTCTTCCCGCATCTTCATCGTCTTGAAAACGCATACTCCACCATAGTTTGACATCAGAGAGGTACATGCTTGCTATACTCACTCTACCGTCCTTTAGGATGTGTGCTGCTTTGAAGTAATCTTCTATGTCCCATAAGAAATTCTCCAGCTCTTTTGCATTCCTCTAACCATTGAATGCCTTTGGCTTCAGAATCTTAACTTTAGCTGAGCCAGCATTGTCTTTGGAAGAAGACCCAGTGAGGGCTTTCTTTATCAACGAGACATCGTTAATTGTCTCGCTAAGTTCTCCTTTCAATGCATCAAAGTTAGTTGAAAACGCAGAGGAATAAGAAAATAAATCACCTCCCAATAAAGGCATTCAATGGTTAGAGGATAGTTCCAAGAGAATTTCTTCGAACCAGCTATCGTGTTGAGAGAATAGTTCCACGAGAGAAGACATCTCATCCCTTCTTTCGGGACTCCGACATAGTTTTCTAATGAACCAGTGTTGTTGAGGTGCACCTGGGTGCTCACCTCAGGCGAGAGGCGAGGCGATTTCGTCCAGGTGCGCCTTGCAAGGTGCCCAAGCGAGCGCCTTCAATCTGGCGCTCGCCTCGGTGCGCCTTTGTGCGCCTCTCGCTTGAGGCCAGGCGATTGCCTCGTTGAAGCGAGGCGATCTGCCTTATTTATTTTAATGTGTGTTTTTTTTAAAGAACCTTTCTCCCTCGTGAAATACCTCAGTCCACAAACCCTAACCATTCTCTCTGCCTCTCGACATTCACCTTCACCACCCTCAATCTCCAGCCATCGCCTGCTCCCGTCTCTGACTAAATTTATTGAATTTGGTTGTTTTATATATCTTGTTGACATTTAATATGACACTGTTTTGGTATTTATTTTTATGTTTACTATATAACTTTATGCACTATATATATAATTTTCATTTATTTATTAAGGTGCGCCTCGCTTCACTCGGGCGTCGCCTTTCTATCGCCTCTCGCCTCAAGGCGACCAAGGGCTTGTCGCCTTGAGGTGCGCCTTGCGCCTCGAAAACACTGATAAGAGCAAGAAAAGTCTCAGTTTTTTCCTTTAGATTGTGCTATTCAATTTTGTCTGATCTTTCTGGTTGTACATTCCAAGATTTTATTTTAGTATGTTTTCAGCCCTCAGTTTAAGTTTGGTTTTGTAGTGTTGGTTCAGTTTCTTTGGTCTTGGACTCTTGATGCTGCGGCTGCTGTTGGTTTTTCATTTTCGTAATTGGTTCTTTTGGGTTGTATAGAGTTGCGTCAAGTTAAGTTTTGTYTACGATGGGTCTCTTTGCGATAATGTTCTGTGCTTCTATAAAGGCTTGATTAGTTCTTAGAGGATATGATATATCAGTGGTGTTCTCATCTATTCGAGAAAAAGATTGGTTAATCTAACAATTGATGGAAGAGAGTTACTAGTCTGTGATAGCCGAAATAAAGGGGAGAAAACAAAAGATTTCACAGTTGGATGAGTCTGAATACCTTTTAAGAGTTCCTACACAAAACAGACAATTCTCTCTTCTCACATTCTCCACCTATAACCATCCAAACCAAATTTCTCATGGTGGGCCCCGATGCGCCTGAGTACACAATTATTTCCCACTTCCATAACTAACTATGTACACTTCTAGTTCCTCCCTTTGACTTCCTTCTGCCGTAGGTATATTTTATAGGGGTTTGATTTCCCTATTAGTCTCCAATTTCTGAAGAGTTATGAGTTGAAGATCATTCACTTGACAAATATGTTGTTGATTTTCTATTGCTGGATTTGTAATCTTTGTTTTTTTTATGATGATTTATCCCTTAGCTTCAGTTTCATTTATTTATTTATTTTTTAGCTTGTTGTTTGTTAGCGGTCTTTAGTTGGGATTGCTGTTGTCTTGTGTTTTTGGTTTGTGGTTGGGGTTTTTCTTCGTATGTTTTGGTACTTCTCATGG